CCACACTCACCCATCTTTCCTCTTGGCTTTGTAGACGTGACCATAAGTGCCTCGGCCAACTTTGCAGCCCTCGTATTCAAACAGGTCCTCGACCCGCTCCCGCTCGCTGCTCAGCTTCACTTTAAAGTCATAGTCCATTGTCACAGCCTCGGAGGCCGGGGAGCGGGGCCGGGGGCCCGGGGGGCCCGGGGTAGGGACCGCGGAGGCACCGGCAGCCGCAGCCCCCGGGAACCCGCCCGCTCTACACCCGGCGGCGGCAGCACCAGCCCGACAGATGCAGCTGGAGCAGGAGGAGGCCCCGCGACAGCCCTGGGGACATCCAGGGGGACAGCCGGGCCGAAGCCGGCCAAGGTGGGGTCAGGGAGGCCTCCCCGGCGGAGGAGAGTGGAGGGACGAGGCTGGGGGAGGGGTGGGGAGCGGGTGTCGCTGCCCTTGTCCCCGCGGCTCTCCAGGCACCGGTCTCCCTCCTCTCCCGCTGCGGAGGGAGCGCGGGGCTGCCGCGGGGGGCGCTCCCCTCCTCCTCGTACACACGCACTCACTCCTCGCACCCACTCTCACACGCACACGCACACTCACACTCACTCACTCACTCATTCTCCATACACTCACACAGAAAGGCAGGAGCCGTACAACAGCCGGTACCCCCTCAGAAAGAAGAGGAGGGAGGGGACTCGCGGAACACGGCCCGGTTGTCGCAAAAACGTCGCGAAGGCACGGGCTTCCTCGGGCCCTCCCACCACCCGCAACCACGGCAGCCAGCAGTCCTCTCGGCGCCCGACGCCCCGAGACCGTAAGGAGACAGCAAGGGAGCAGTAGCCCAGAGCTGCCGCCAAGCACACCACGTGGGCAGCACTGAGCGCTGGCCCGAGCCCGGACTACAATTCCCAGAATGCTAGGGTGACATTGACACCGCCCCGTTCGAGGCCACACCCATCACGCTAGCTATTTTGGGAGTGGTGCATGATGGAATTGGTAGTCCTTCCAGAGAAGAGTGTCTATTACTTTTTTAATTGGGCGCTGCCTGGTCCATTCGGCTTCATGGAGCAGAACTGTCCCATAGTGTTTTTCTAGATTCATTTTTAGAGATTTGTGCTTTATTGGCTATGCAAAGGCTGTGTGGACCATAACAAATTGTGGCTAACATTGACAGAGTGGAAATCCCAGATCACTTAATAGTGCTCACGAGAAACCAGTATCTAGACCAAGAGGCTGTTGTCGGAACAGAGCAACGGAACACTGCATGGTTTAAAATTAAGAAAGTGCATGGCTTAAAATAAAGAAAGGTATGCATCAGGGTTGAATTCTTTCTCCATATCTCTTCAATACGTATGCTGAACAAATGATTCAAAAAGCTCGTCTCTGAAAAAGAATGTAGCATCAGGATTGAAGGAAGGTTTAACCACAACCCTCAAACAGATGTCACAACCTTACTTACTAAAAGGGATGAAGACCTGAAGTGCTTACTGCAGAAGATCAAAGACTACAGTAGCCTTCAATATGGATTGCATCTCAACATCAAGAAGAAAAATTCTCACCACTGGACTGATGTTGTTTGTTGTTGTTATGTGCCGTTGAGTCGTTTGCGACTCATAGCGACCCTATGTACAACAGCCGTAAACCCTGCTCTATCTTGTGCCAATCTCATTGCCTCTGACATACCCATCCCGATTACCCCAGTCACTGAATCAATCCACCTCATAGAGGGTCTTCCCATCCTGCGCGGTCCCTCCACCCTCCCAAGCATGATGTCCCTCTCCAAGGACCCGTCCCTCCTGGCAACATGTCCAAAGTATGTCAG